TGAAGAGGAAGAAGAAGATGATGATGTTGATGATGATGATGATGATGCGGCTGAGGATGATGATGATGATGACCAAGATGATGAGAATGATGTTAATGATGGTGATGAAGATGATGATGATGATGAAGAAGAAGATGATGATGATGATGATGATGCTGATGATGATGCAGATGGTGACCAAGATGATGAGAATGATGTTAATGATGATGATGCGGATGGGGCTTGGGATAATGATGATGGCGATCGCACGGCGCGCAGCGCCTCCCCCCGGACTGCAGACATGGAAGACCTTTGTTGTTGTTGTTGTTGTTGCTGTTGCTGTTGCTGTTGTTGTTGTTGTTGTTGTTGTTGTTGTTGCTGTTGCTGTTGCTGTTGTTGTTGGTGTTGCTACGGTGGGTACTGCGTATACGGGAGTTGCTACAATAAAAAAGCGGGAGGGATGGATCGGGGGGAGGGCGCAGCGCCTGGAGGAGGAGCAGGCGGAAGAAGAGAGGAGAAGGAGGAGGAGGAGGAAGAGGAGGAGGCGAAGAAGAGGAGGAGGAGGAGCAGGAGGAGGAGGAGGAGCAGGAGGAAGAGGCCAAGGAAAAGGAGGAGGACGAGGAGGAGGAGTTGGAGGAGGAGGAGGAGAAGGAGGAGGAGGAGGAGGAAAGGAGGAAGAGAAGGAGGAGCAGGACGAGGAGAAGAAGAACAAGGAGGAGGAGAAGGAGGAGCAGCAGCAGGAGCAGGAGAAGGAGGAGGAAGAGGAGGAGGCAGCCGACGCCGAAAACACCCGTTACCGACGCAAAAAACACCAACCGTCCCAGAAAACACTGTTTGCCGACGCGACAAACCCCGGGGCCGTCGCAATAAACACCGGCCAACCGACGCAGAAAACACCGTTCCAGCACCGACGCAAAAAACACCGGTACATGTGCACCGTCGCAAAAAACACCGTTTACCGATGCAATAAACCCGGAGCCCCAGATCGAGTCCTTCCAGTCAATCACCAAACCAATAGTCAAACCAATACACTCTCTGGAATTAACATGGACGTCGATGGCGTGGCCGCTTGGATGACAATTTTCCTCTTCCATGATTATTCCAAGGAGTGTATCCAGCCAAAATTTGCCAACCTTCACAATCCTCACAGGTCCAGCGCTTCGGGCTGCATATGGCCGCACAGTTGATGGACACATCCGCCTTTCATACAGTGACTGCAGCTGCATTATACCATATTCACCCTACCATCAGTTCATAAACAGATTGATTGCTCAATATCAACACACAGCCTAGCATTCGCTCACCTCCCCCAGCGGAACAACAACAACAACACCAACAACACTTCCATCCACTTTCTCTTCCATCATCGGAGGCCGGAAGCCCAAGCCAGCGCCGAAGCCACCCGACAGCCCCTTGCACTGGGTCTTGAGGCGTCGACGGTGGCGGAGTCGTTTCCCATCGCGGCCAAAACGACACGATGGGAGTGGCCGGATGAAGAGTTGCTAGGAGTTCCTTCAGAGGCCGAGGATTCCAAAAAATGGTGCCTGCTTTGGGGTAGCTTTACCATGTTCATGACTGCAAACAAAATTGAACAGACGTTCAGTTGTTCGACTGTCTTCAGTTTGAGGATCACTAGAGAAAGAGTGATGTTCGAACTTCCATGTCAAGTGATTTACATGTTAAAACTTCCATTCGTGTAAATGTGTTTGCATGTGTTTCTTCTGAGTACTAGTATGGCCAGATGCTCAAAGTGACAGCCACATCACTTGCAGTCGAAGATGTTCCCCAGTCATTTGCTGGTTGTCATTTAGGTTGGAGGCCATCCCTACCAGGGTGGGGGCCATCGCTACTAGGGTGGAGGCCATTGCTACTATTGCTATTATATTTGGTTGTCTTCCATCAGATTTCTCTGTCTCATAGATCTCCCCCCACCAAGTCGCCTGAGCCGCAGGTACAGCACCATCTCAACGATGCAGTGGGGATCTCTGGAAAGTCCTTTTTTGCCGGATGGCCATGGATCCCTGATGACCTCCAAAATGGCTTTAAAAATGCTTGGAGGGCTGCAGAAATCAACAAGGAATCTTCAAGCAAGGCTTGCTGGCAGGATAATTTTGCTTCTTATTGCTCACAACCACAGGGAGCAGAGTCACTTGCCAGCCCTGCAACTCATCGAAGAAAGACGGACACGTTGATAGAACCTGCTTACTGCTTTGGAAAGTGAGTTGACAGCTGCAACCACAAGCATTGTTGAATCTTCAAGTTGCATTGCAGGGCCAATCACCAGAAACCCAAACATTTATGCTTGCGTGCCCCAAACAAATCCCATCTCCTGCTAAAAGGGAACAGACCATAAACTCGCCCAGTACTGCAATACCTGTGAAGCTTTGGGCAAAGTTCTTTGAGAAATCCCCAGAGTTGGTTGAAGATCCCAATCCAGCAGCTCTCAGAGAACTCTCCACGAAAATCGTGCCATGGTGAAGAAGAGGAAGAAACAGAAAGAGGATGAGGAGGCTTGAATTGTGGCGTTCAGACATGTTTCTGAAATGTTGATCTGAACTCTTCAGTGATGCCTGCAAGCATCTGCAAGCTTTTCAACATGTTGTCCGTGTATTCCAAGCTTTATTTGAGCATTGCAGGAGCTGGGCAGCGAGCAAAAATGGCACAAAGGCGGTGGTCCCGCCTGGGGTGGACCTGATCTGATGAAAGAGACGACTCAGGAATCTTCAGTACTATCTTACTCTCCAACCATCGAGCTGTCCAGCCACAAGCATGTTGTAGATGCGAAATTGTGACTGGTAGCAACTTGTAAGAAAAGACATAATGTTTCCATTCAGCAAGCATCATCAAGAAACACAGACCAGGAAAGCTTCCACCCAACCATGCCATCACCCCCACTCACCTACTCACCAACCCAGTTCGAGGTGAAACCTCGAAGCCGTCGGCACTGAAGATGCTGAAGATCCGGAAGGGGCGCCAGCGCACCATTTCGGTGGCACTGCCGGTGTCCATCTTGGACAACGCGCAGAAGTGGGACTTGAAGGCCATGTGGCCAGTGTGACAGATGTAACGATGATGTTGGATCATTGTTGTATCTTATGTTTAGAGTGTGATTGTTTGGGGAAAACAGGTCAATCACACGTTGTTGTTCCTTTTCCTGCACTCAGGATGTAGCACATTTGATGCGCACGAACTTTGAAACACGAATGCCAGATATATAGAAGAACCAGCTCTATTGAAACAAGCTCATTGGTTTGAGAAGTGACCACCCATGCTGCGTGTTTCTTCAACTTCTACGTGAGGCATTGCTGGTTGGCCAAGTGGCCCGTGCCTTGACCATCTACGGCATCGACGAGGTGGTGATCTTTGAAGATCGTTCCGAGGCTGTGGCCAGCGACCAGGAGTGAAAAGAGATGAAGGGGAAGAGAGGATGGTCGTTTGGACAGATAGCTTCAGAAAGGGATGTTATGCTTACTTCAGTTTGCACCCCAAAAAATGGCTATTGGTTTATGCCAGTCGCCCACAAAAAGGATAGAAACACAAGACGGAACCTTCAGACTTGAAAGACTGACGGTGACTGACGTTGATTCCAAGCACGTTCTCAACGAGAGAGGCCCCGTTCATACGCGTTCATCCTTGCGGTGTTGGGGCCTCTCTACTTGATCTCTATATAATGTCGGATCCTAATTAGTCAAGTGGTTTTTGTGGCGGTCATATTCCCTTGATTGTTTGCTGGGGGGGGGACGGGTTTTACTATTTAAGACCCAACATTAAACAAGTATCATGTCGACAGTGTCAACATGCGCTTCGTACCTGTAACGAACATGGGCCAAGGGCTTGCCAAGGGATGACAGCATACGGCAGCCTCCAGGAGGGCATTTCCAACGGCATGGCCTTCTTTGCGCGAAATCTGCAGTACTTGGAAACACCCCAGTATCTTCGAAAGCAGCTGGTTCCCTGGCACGAGGACCGAACTCCTTTTGAGGGTGGAAGAAACAGACACAGATGAAACGGTCAGATGTTCATGTTGGCAGGTTTGTTGTGCTTTAACCGTCCACACCCGGTCCGCTCATTCGCTTCACTGCAAGGGTGGGACAGGGGACCACTAGCCACCACCTGTCCGCCGGTCCGTGTTGCACCTGGAAATTGGACCCCCTCATGCGTCGGAGCCGCTATAGACTCTCTTGTTGGCAGACTTGCGACCGAATACTTGCCGGTCACGTGAATACTTCCAGGTGTTCAAGTTACGTGCACATTCCACCAGTTGACATGAATTGACGTTCGATGTCACAATCCACCAAAAAGTTGATTGACCAACCCCCAGATTCGTTCCTTCGAGATACAGACATGACTTCTTGCCACGGTGACAGCGTCCCTGCAGATGCTGCTCCGCGAGGACCTGAAATGGGTGGGTCTTCTTGCACCCCTGGATGCACCTCACCACTTGCGCAAGTACGAGCACTTGCCCTATCGAGAAGGAGCCGTTTTAGCTCTGTTCAACTTCTTGGGTGTGTTTGTGTTCAACTTTCTATAGCCATGGAGATTGATAGTGTCTTGAGGTGTGGTGGAATTTGTTTGACCTGCCGGTTTAGCGCTTTTTGGTCTTGTTAGGAGTCGTGCTGAAAAAGCAGAAAGAGTGGCCTCCTCCCACTGAGAATGAGAAAGGCCTGGCTTCAGGAAAAACGATATTGAAAACATATACTGTGTATATATATATATACATAATATATGTGGCCTGTTTGCCCTTAGCTGTCTTGCCAGCTAAGCTAGGAATTCTAAGGAATGCTCGTTGATGTGGCCAGCAGACTGGTGAAAGAAACGATGCCATAGCATTCCTCATTGCAGGTTGCTGGGTGAATTGTGGCCTCTCCGAGCCTGTGTGGCTCGAAGGTGCTTGTGGCTGTGGCTTTGGGGCGCCCCATCTGGGGGGGCGAGGGGTTTGATCGGTTGACTCAGCGTGTTTGGTTTCGTTTTGGGATCAGAGTATCTCTTCCCAGATGCAGCTTTGACTGAATCACACATCGATTGGATGGGATGATGATGTCCGAAAACATCCCAAAACCGTTCAGGCAAGGAGATCGCTGGTGATGTTCGTGTGACCGTTCGCCTCGAAGAGGACAGAGCCGGGCCGCGCTTGAAGCGAAGCGGTGAGTGTGCAGGCTTGACGCCCACGGGGTCAAAAGCAGGAATCCTATGCTGGCGACTGTCTGAACGTACCCCAGGGTCCTTTTGCTCGGCAGGGTACCCGGGGCGTAAATAGCCCGTTACATCAACGTGATATGAACAAACGGAGAAGGTCGATGGTGGATCCCTGGCCCAGCCCCTGAAGGGGATCATTGAAAGATCATGAAAGATCACTGAAGGCTAGGTGGTCGTTGATTTGGGACGGTCAGGTGCATCTGAGTCGTGACCTCCTGTGCTGTTTCTAGTGGGCGAGAAAACGCAAACGAAGCATCAGATGAGGGGTTTTGATCAAAACTGAATCAACCGGAAATCGATGCTGAATATGTTTGTTCGCATATCGCACATTCGAGTTCATCATAGCTGCAGGTTGGCAGCACACAGCTTACCACAGTAAGTCCCTGGTGTTGACCTGAGGTCCCTGTTCCCGCTTCAAAGCTGGTGTTGACCTTCAAAATGACCTGGTGTACGTGCTCCGCCAGGACGCCGCCCCCGAGGCCGGCCGTGGCCGCGGACGGGGCCGAGGGCGTGGCCGAGGAGGTGGAGGTGGCACGCAGAGAGGCACTCCTGTCAGTTGTGTTTGTTATTGTTTGTCATTATGTGCTTGAAATCTCTTAGTGTTTCAATCTGCAGGAACTGCATACTGTGGCCATTCCAGTGTTTTAGTATTCTTTATGCATCTTTTCTTACTGAACAGGGTGAAAGAAGATCCTTTTCTGTCTCATTGCTTCATTGCCTGTCAAGTCTCTAAATGTGTTTGGCATCCTGGACCTTCAAAAGCCTACATGCCAGCAAAAAAGAAGGTCGGAGACCTTGCTTCACCAGTCTTACACCGACCCGGACGACCAGGCGTCGCAGTGGAGCCCTCCGAGCCACGCACCAAGTGTGGCCTCTACTGGGGCTTTCAGACGAGGCATGGAGAGATGCACGTCGGGGTGCAGAATTTCTGGCCACATCGAAGTTCTAGGATTGCAAAGTTTGCAGGTTTTGCAGAATGGTGCAGGTGTTGAAGTTGATGAACAGCTCACAAACCCCTCACTTCCTCCTGGAGAAAACAGCAGAGCTCATGCTCTTGTGACATTCAGACTTGGGAGCATTGTCGGAACAGCAAAGCAATCGATCACATAGAAGCCCGGTGTAGCATGGTACACCGCTCTCAATGCTTGAGGCCGCTGTTCTTCCTTTGATATCCGTTGATTTGTTTATCTTGAGGTGCAAGAATTGAGCCTCAGCTGTGGTGTGCCTTTTGTACGTGCGAGGCTGGCCAAGAGCTTGAAGGCAGTGTTTGAGGAGCAGAAGGGAGGATGCATTAGTGACATTTTGATCAGCTGGAGGTTTCAACTACTTGTGCCTAAAGTTGATTGAGCAATTCCTTACTATATCTTGATTTGGAACAATGATGTAGCTCAGACATGTAGACGTCCCCGGTCTAAATTGATCTCCAAGGAAATATGATGGTATTGTGTTCACTGGTCTTTAATCTGTATATTGGGCTCGCTGTGTTAGGTCCTGTAGGCCTTGTGACCATCTCGAGGCAAGGGGTATCCTGCATACCTACACACTGGCATGAAAATGTTAGACGCCACTCAGGAAAAGCCAGGTTTTGAAGAAATGCCGCAACTGTTTTGGGGTTGCGGCGCGTTTCCAGGATTGATTATTTTGACTCAACTCTGCAGTGTATTTGTGAAGCTTGCCAAGAGCAAGTCGCAGCGTGTTTCTGGGAGCGGTGTGTTTCTTCAATTGCTGCAACAAAACAGTGTGTTTTGTTGTGTTTTGTCATGACGGCGGAAATAAACA